TACAATGAGTTTAGTTGAAATCGATTGGTACCACATCGCGCCCTCCCCTTGTAAGCCCTGTATCACTTGGAGGAATTGCCCTCAGCGTTAGCCTCAAATCGGCCCTTTTCAGGGCCACCAAAAATTATAAACTAAGAGACTTGTATACAGAGTGTTCCTCGGTTAAATAGCCAAACTTGAAATATGAATTTAGGACCTTAAAACAAGAAAAAATTTTCCTCTGGAAGTATGCTCGCAAACGCTTCGTTCAAGACATATTGACTTCTGAAGTTATGAACTATAGGAACGAATAATTTCAAAATAATCTAGGTTTATTCTATTTATTGCTGTACAATAATCAGCACGGCGTGCAGCGTTAGCATTTTCGTTACAAAACCCATATAAATATATCATATCGGCATATTCACTAATCGAATACGTATGAGGCATGATTGTACTAGTTTATTCCACGAAAGCATTCAACGGACTAACAATTATTTGGTACGAATGAACGGAGCTTTGCTTACAGCGCAAACACAAGCCTGTCAATGACCTTCGATCTTCAAAACAAAAATAAAAAGAAACATTTCGCCGTGAAGTGTGCGCTGCCGCATACTACTAGGCGCGCGGCTCACCGACGTGCGCCCGGCTAAAGGTTGGCGCTGATTGATTAGACTTTACTCAATAATAATTCCTTTATTAAACGTTATAAAAAAATGGTTCAGAACTTTTCGACTCAGTTTGACCCAATCTATCTCCACCTTTCGTTTGGTCACTTACTTGTCGGACACCCTGTATAAATAAATTGTTGAATTTTAAATATATAATTTAAATTTAATTATTTATTTATTTATTTAATAACTAAATGGTTAATTACAACAGTACTGGGATTTACTTGCACATTTCGGCCCGATTTCGTAGCTCACGCCTATTGCCCCCCACTCACTGCTCGTGCGTTAGCAACGAGTCGCCAGATATGCGTAACTAAGGAGCACGGCGCTTCGTCTCAGGATCGTCCGTATGTAAGAATGCCCAAATATAACAATAAGACAATACTTTTCTAAATGCACCGTGAAAATTCTCAAAATTATAAATTTTTTTTCAATATTTTATATGAATGAAATATAAACAGTACCTAACCATACAGTTTTATTTATGTAGAATTGACATTCGTTAATTTTATTGAATTTTATATAGGCATTAAAATCTTGTATAAAGTAGCTCAATTTAACTATACCTATATATCATATTCATTCACTTTTGTATTACTGTAACATCATGTAGATGTAGACCATTCTTCAACTGTATGATGTTACAGTAATACAAAAGTGAATGAATATGATATATAGGTATAGTTAAATTGAGCTACTTTATACAAGATTTTAATGCCTATATAAAATTCAATAAAATTAACGAATGTCAATTCTACATAAATAAAACTGTATGGTTAGGTACTGTTTATATTTCATTCATATAAAATATTGAAAAAAAATTTATAATTTTGAGAATTTTCACGGTGCATTTAGAAAAGTATTGTCTTATTGTTCTACGGTATAAGACCGTATGCAATTCCAGCTGAAGAAATCCCAGCTATAAAAGTATACTGGTCTTCTCGTATTTGCTTTATCCTGCATATCCTGCAAATAATTTAGATAATATTCAGATATAATCAAGAAATATACTTATAAAACAATAAATGAACATGTATAAGCAGATATATTATACGAAATTTTAATCAATCTACTTACTCGATAGCACCAAATATATTTTCTGCAACAGATTCAAATATAACCTAATAACCTTAACCTTTTATTATTATATCTTGACGTCGCGATGCTACCGCATACCGCGACTATCGTGTCGCTTGATACGTATCATATACGTATGCACGCACATACATACACCTTGTCTCTCAAGGCGTATTTGCACACTCAAGCGAATAATCGTACATGAGCGCTGCAAACGCGCCTTGAGGGACAAAATCGCGTTGCGTGTGTGCGTGCGAGCATACGTACGTGAGAGTCTGAATCTTATGAAGAAAAAAAATGTCACATTTCTGGTATACGATTATCATTCCTCAGGATTGACTGCACCAATCTTATTCAAACTGGTCGCAATCGAAAGCTTGCATCCACATTGTATAAGAAACGTGCCGTTAGATTTTTGATTAACGGCTTGGTTCCTGAAGAATTTTAATTAAAAGTTTATTAGACGTAAAACTCCAGATAAGTTACTTGGTAGCGTCGCGGCCCCTGTACATAGGCAACATAGGCAACCGTTGACAAGCCGAAACTTTTTTTTATATACTTGGCGTCGCAATGCTACCGCGTCGCTTGATATAAGCCAAAAAGTACTTAATAAAAAAATACGGGTGTAGTTCCGAAAAGTACTCACCCCCGATTTTTTTGAAACTCAGTATTCTTACGTATTTTGATGCGCTGATTACGAATATCATAGTGAAAATTGGCGACTATCTGATTTTTATGGTGAAGACCATGAAAAACCCATAAAAATTATAGTTTTTTACGCATATCTCAGTAAATACGAAAAATCATGATAAATGTTTTAGACAAAAGTTTTAGATCTCACAGAGATAAATATTTTATGTCCTATTCATTTTTACCATACGAGTAATAGTTTTCGACAAAAACGATGGAATCTAAATCTTATATCTGTCTTCCCATCTAAACATGTACTTTGCAGTACATATACGATTCCACATGGGTTTGCAACTTTCCACGCAAAGCGAGGTTCCACGCAAACCTATTGTCTGGCTTTTTGATACGCAGTACTGTCTGTCAGCCTTTGTAGTTTCACCTATACAGCAATTGGTTTGAGATATATGTTTAACTTTGATTTTCTCGAAAACGATCACTTGTACGGTAAAAATGAATAAGACATAAAATGTTTATCTCTGTGAGATCTAAAACTTTTGTCTAAAACATTTATCATGATTTTTCGTATTTATTGAAAGAAGCGTAAAAAACTATAATTTTTATGGGTTTTTTATGATTTTCACCATAAAAATCGAATAGTCGCCAATTTTCACTATGATATTCGTAATCAGCACATCAAAATACGTAAGAATACTGAGTTTTAAAAAAATCGGGGGTGAGTACTTTTCGGAACTTTATCCAATAATACCTTTTTATAGTGTTTTGAAAAGCTCTCGAGATAAGCTACAAGAATATGCAATAAAAAATGGGGAGTTTCGTTTAAGAAAACATCGATCACATTGACCTCACCTTGAAAAGGTCACTTAAGGTCAAGTCCATATTTTTATCATGTGGCCCCCTCAAAACCCAACAACTTTTGTCTAAAACATTTTTTCATCCGACCACTTTTTGCAATGTTAATCGGGATACACGATTAAAATAAGACATCCTGTATGTATATATTACATGTACTGTATGTATACATTAAATACTTGATTTTCCTGGGGCGATTAAAATGAAACACCCTGTATATACATGTTTCATTTTAATCGCCCCAGGCAAATCAAGTACTTAATGAAAAAAGGCAGGAAGGAGAAAGGGAGGAGAAAAAAGAAGAGTCAAATTATAATAAATGATACGGAGAAGTAAGGAGAAAGGGAATATCGGAGTACTTAACAAAAGGATGAGTAAAGATAAGATGGAGAAGAGTTATAAGATTCAGGTTGGAAATGAAATGAGAGAAAAATTATATTGGGAAGGGGAGGAAAAAAGAAGATATAGGGTATGTGGTGGAAAGGAGGAGACGTGGGAGTATGTGTGGGAGAGATACGATGATGAGAGTTGGCAGGAGGTGATGAGCAGGATATTAAGGAGAGACGGGAGGGAGAGGAATGGATGAAGGAGGTAGAAAAGGTGAGAAAAACGGGTAGGGAAAAGGGAGGAGAGGAAAGGAGAAGGGGAAAGAGAGGAGACAGAAATAGAGAGGAAGGGAGGAAGAGTGAGAGAGGGGGGAGGGGGGAGAGAGATTGGAGGGGGAGAACAGCGGAAACGGAAATCCGATTAGGCAAGGGAAAATTAAGTTAGTTGGAGATAGTAATTAGTAGGATAATGATAGGTTAAGGTAGAATAAGAGGGTAGAGAGAGGGATAGGGAAGTAAGGTGTGTGTGGAAGGCGGAAAGATATAAAGTATTATATGTAAGAATAAATGTAAATTAACTAAATGTAAATTAACTAATAAAGATGACTCTTATGAATATATCATACGAAGGAGATAAAAGGCAAACAAGAGCCAGCGCGGTAATTTGTGCGCATATGTTTTATTATAATCAAATTATATTGATATTTTGACTACGCGATAGACAAACTCAAAAAGCGTACGTTTCGGTCCCTTTTTTGGGCCATCCTTAGCGTAATTACAAAGTATATGGAATACATTATATCAAAAATGTAATAGTAATAATACGTAGAACAAGAGTAAGTCACCCATGTTGTCAGATGGTAAATGTTATATAATGTAATTTTGAGACAGAAAGAGACTGTCCGATAAAATATACTACATTAAAAAATAACTGGCCATATAATTATACCGAACTTGAGTGAGTTACCCATGTTGTACAGAAGGCAAATGTTACACACGGATTCGAGACAGAATGTCAAGTCTCTTCATATCGCATTAATGATAAACTAACCAAACTACTTAACTCAAAAACAGGTCTTTCACTGATTTTCTTAGTATTTATTGGAAATAGGATTTATACATAGAACAGGATAGAAATAATGAAAACCTAGTCAAATTAAAATTGTTGATTCATCTTAATAATGAAAGAAGTCTGTTCCAAAATTACATTATATACGCTTTTTGTGATTTTGTCTATCACATAGTCAAAATATTAATGTAATTTGATTGTAATAAAACATATTTGCACAAATTACCGCGCTGGTTCTTAATTGCCTTTTATCTCCTTCGTATGAATAAATGCAAAGATGCGAAAAAAGAAAATGTAATCCCATAGGGGATCAATAAAGCAATATCTATCTATCTATCTGTATAATTATTTTCAATGAACATAATTTGTGATACTTACCAAAAAGTAAGGAGAGAGACTGAATTTGCGTTTTGCCGTGGATTTTTTGGATATTTTCTTTGATTGCTATTCATCATAACGTGGGAGAGGCACGTGAGAAAAACTTTTATATTATAAAATATTTTCCGCCTTAAATATAGTATGAGTTATTTATAAATACATGTTTGTTAATTATTATATAATCAATATTTAAATAAAACAATATAATAAACAAAGTAAAGCAGATTCCATATTTATAAAAATATATAAAATATCCCGCCAGATCAAGCGTGTTTCTTTTTAGTTGCAAATTCTTTGATAAATTTTAATCAAAGCAGAGATATTAAAGGGAAAACAAATTATTTATCAAATCTTCAATCATTAACATTGTTTTTGTATAATTCTTAAATTACAATACTGTAAAAATTCACCTGGGGTTCGATTCCTGATTCAACGACTTCGCTCCGATATTTTTCTCGCCTATGCTCAGGGTGGTAAAAAGAGGCTTATCAAGATCTCGAATTGAGATGTATTTATTCTTGATATAGGATCAAGAAAAGTTCGTGCTGGTATGTACACAGTAATCAGTTTCACAGAAAAATTATTTTTTGTGAAACTGACGCATTATCATCCGCGTCTGATTCTTATTGGCCCGCGAAAATTCAGACTTATGATTTTCACTTTGGAGTCTTAATAATTTCTTAATTTGTTAATAAATCTAATACATTTCGAGATTCATGAATTTGACATTGCGCATTCAAAGCACTTTTGGCCTTTTAAAATATAAGATTAATAATTAATTTGTGAGTTAGAGTAAACCTTTGTCCTATAAAATTAAAATTTTTATTTTCATCAATTTTTGTGTGCAATCACTAATAAAACTTTCGTAATATAGTCACTATAAAAAAGTTAGTTTGATATAAGATAATATTTATGATTTTGAGATTAAATTATATTCTACAAGGCAAATCTTTACTTTAATTTATAAATTAATTATTAATTAATGTTTAATTTTGAGATGTCGCCAGTAGATAAATTAAAGGAGTGTTTATATATATCCGACCCAACTGGCAATTTATTGTTTGATTGTGATCACAACGTTTCGACCATATGGTTTTGGTCCTTATCAAGTGAACTAAAATTACAATATTAAATAATGACAATCACGTTATAAAAATGAAATAAACAAATTTATGTACCTGCGTTATAGTTAGAGTTGAAAGAGAAAAAGTCGCTATGTCATAATGACACTGTGTCAACCTCTCTGTTTAAGATACTGAGAAAGACTAAACGACCTTTATTAATCTATCGTATATGTTATTTAAATTCTCTGTATCCTTTTGAGAGTTAATAGTGTTGTCATATTTTTTAATAAAAAACATTTCAGCTATTTCTCTCTTTCTTACATGTTTTTCAGTATGCAGAATATCAGGCGTTGACCAATCGAAGTCATGATCAAATTCTAATTTGTGTTTACTAATTACGGAAAGATTACTTGCGTGCATTTTTATGTTATTAAAATGTTCTTTCACGCGGGTACTTAAATGTCTTTTCGTTTGACCAATATATGAACCGCTACAGTCCTTGCAATTTATTTTATAAACGACTTCCGTTCTATTGCTAATAAGCAGTCCATCTTTACCACGTTTAATCAATGAGTTTAATTTTTTAGGTATATTGTAGACAACAGTAAAACCCATATTTTTAAACAACCGACCGATATTGTCACTCAAACCTTCAACAAATGGTAATGCAATGTAAGAGGGTTTGTTTACATTATTTTCCTCAGTACTCGGAACAACATCACCACGGTGTTTCAAAAAATCAATTATTTAAAATTCAAAAAATTAATTATTAATATTCCATTTTAAAAGACTAAAAATGTTTTGTGCGCAATATCGAATTCATGAATCTCGAAATGTATTAGATTTATTAATTTTTTAGCTAATCCGTCCAGCTCCTCCGCAAACTATATGAATGACTGTTAATTAATGTGTATAATGTCTATTAAATATAATATAATTAAATATAATTAAATATATATAATATTTGTATTATCCAAGAAGTTAATACATGAGTCGGACTCTATTTCATGCGTGAATTTTAAGCGTTGGTGATAACTGTTGAAAACTAACTCAATCTCGTCAACTTTTGCACGTGGAACGATGGCAAAGATATCATCCACGTATCTATAATAAACAGGCACGGTAAAACTTAACGAACTCAAACAATGTGTCTCCAAATCATCCATCACAATATCTGCCAAAATAGGTGATAAAGGAGATCCCATAGGACTGCCAAAGATCTGCTCATAAAACTGTCCATTGAAAGAAAAACTAGTCGAATTTAGAACAATTTCCACTGCATGTCATGTAAAAAGCAAGTTAAAATTCGTATTCGGAGCAATGTCATTCCAACGTTTTTCGATAGCGCGCAAAACTAACTCTTTGGGAATATTATATTAGAATGCAGTAACGTCAAGTGAGATCATTATTTCGTCATCATTAATAAGCTTCTCCTTCATAACAGCAGCAAAAGACCAGCCATCCTTGATATGAGATTTAGGTTGCAAATTAGAATTATGTAAAATATCATGAATGAACTTCGATACATTATACAACGGGCTGTTCAGTGACGATACAATAATACGTAATGGAAAACCAGTTTTATGAATCTTGGGCAATCCGTAACATCGTGGCAAATTGCCGTTAGTAATGTTTAAATATTTGTACGTGGACACATCTATTAAACCGTTATTGTGCCAAGATTTAACAAGTAAATTTATTTTGTTAGTTAACTGTCTGATTGGGTCTTTGTTCACTTTTTTGTACGTAGATTGGTCATTTAATATAGATTCCATTTTTTCCAAGTAATCTTTCTTATCCATAACTACTGTAACTTGACCTTTATCTGCTCTAGTAACAAAAATATCATCGTTATTTCGTAAAAATTCCTTACAGAGAGAGAATCCCTTCAGAATGTATCTGTCTGAAAGGTTAATATGTTTACTTCTACATAAGAATCTCTCGAGAGAATTTGCAACTGAGATTCTAGTTGTCTCGATTAGTTCATAAGGAATGTGACGGTAATTCGTTTCTAAATTAATTTTTTTACTTCGATGCAGAAGATACGATTTAATTCCATCGCATATTCAGAATTTAAAAGTAAACATTTCTTTTCATAGTAACAGCGTCAACCGTAGAATCAAAAGTATTACGAAAAATTACCGTTATAGATTATTGAATTTAGAAATCAAGGACCTTAATTTTAATCTAAATTACTTGCGTGCTACAATTAGAAAGACGGAAAAAAGACTTTTTGATGGTTTACCGCGTGACTTGGTGCTCAGATTTTTTGACCTCAACAAACACAAGATTTTAGCATTTAACCATAGAATTAAGAATAATTTAATTAAAAAATTTCGTAATTTGACCTTTAGACACAATACTGTTTTTAATCCGTTCGATAATATAGATAACTCACGATGGTTGGTAAACATGAGCAGTAAGAATATTCCTGAGAGGGTTTTCGAGCTTTTAAGCCTTGGTGATAATTTCGGTTTACCGTTGCATCAATCTCATAAAAAGGACCGTATTAGTATTGTACTTGAGACTGTGAAAAATTTAGAAACGAATTACCGTCACATTCCTTATGAACTAATCGAGACAACTAGAATCTCAGTTGCAAATTCTCTCGAGAGATTCTTATGTAGAAGTAAACATATTAACCTTTCAGACAGATACATTCTGAAGGGATTCTCTCTCTGTAAAGAATTTTTACGAAATAACGATGATATTTTTGTTACTAGAGCAGATAAAGGTCAAGTTACAGTAGTTATGGATAAGAAAGATTACTTGGAAAAAATGGAATCTATATTAAATGACCAATCTACGTACAAAAAAGTGAACAAAGACCCAATCAGACAGTTAACTAACAAAATAAATTTACTTGTTAAATCTTGGCACAATAACGGTTTAATAGATGTGTCCACGTACAAATATTTAAACATTACTAACGGCAATTTGCCACGATGTTACGGATTGCCCAAGATTCATAAAACTGGTTTTCCATTACGTATTATTGTATCGTCACTGAACAGCCCGTTGTATAATGTATCGAAGTTCATTCATGATATTTTACATAATTCTAATTTGCAACCTAAATCTCATATCAAGGATGGCTGGTCTTTTGCTGCTGTTATGAAGGAGAATATATACAGGACATTTTATAATTGCGCTTATGAATTACACAGTGCTATTTTTGAATGAAAAATTCTGAACTGTTTTTTTTGCGATGCTTAATATATATATAAGGAGGAATATTCAAATAAAATTTACCTAATCAGTATTATTCATTAGATGAACATATTCGTGTATACTGCGCGTCAACGATTCGTCTCCTGAGATAAGAAGAGTATATAGAAGTATATCAATGGCCCATTGATGTACTTCTACCCCCTTTATCTCAGGGAACGAATCGTTGACGCGCATTGTACAATGCGGCTGATACTTGGCTATATACAATTGAATCTCGAAGTAGTATACTGTACGGGACTCTGGCCCACTATAACGAGGTTACCCACTCTCCCGTCAAATTCAGGACCGTAGCGGCCGTGTAAGATTTACACGTATACGTCTTTTCAAGTACACCGGAAGAGAATATTGCGGCCATAGATTTACACTTGCTGCGTGCTTGGATCATTATTTTCACTCACTCTACTCGGGAGTAGCCTAGCGCGGATGCTATATGTTCTGCTATTTTGAGGTGTGCTATTCCGAAATCCATTATATTATCCGGCGGTTCACGGACGTATGTCTGCTTAAAAAACTGATTGGATAAAACTTATTTAATAATTCCTCTTCCTTTAAGCATCGTAGAAAAAAGGCTTCAGAACTTTTTGACTTATTCTTATCCAAGAATAGCATTAATTTGTAATTTGTGAGGCTGAAAGTTCACATTAACTTACATAGCACGAATCATTTCTATTTTGACATATATTGTAGAGGGTATATTCCTATAACACGCTTTGAATTGTGTGGGACTCTCTTCTGGTTTTTGAGATATACAATTTAAAAACATCATAATTTTCGTGCTTATTTGAATCTTTTCGTTATATCCTACTTAAATCCGATTTATATTTTTTTGTTTACATTTGCTTGTTATTTGTCACTGCCAATATGCTTCTGAATTATTGTTTAGTTTCGTTAAAAATGTCAAAATATACATAGCAATGTAGCTTTACTAAAGACTAAAAACTAAAGACTGACATCAAAAAAGCCTCGCGATTCAATGTACGAACAATCCAACAACACTAATAAATAAACCTTGGATTTCACAACAAACTTTCGAAACACTAGAAGAAAGGAAGAAATTAAATAAACGGAGTAAAAACACAAAATTACAAGGACAATTACAAGAGGCTATGTAAAAAGATTCAAAGACAATGCAGGCAGGAAAAGAACAATTACATTTAAAAAATCTGTAGCGAAGAGCACCAAAATTCCAATCATACGCAGGACTTGTATAAAAAAGTCAGAGAGCTGACACGCAAATTCAAACCACGGACATTCATCATTGAAAACGTAGAGGGAAAAATCCTATGGGAAGACAAAAAGGTATTAAACAGGTGGAGACAGTACTGCAAAGAACTCTATAAGGAAGAAGAGGTAGTAGCAAACGAAGCAAAGAAAGAACAGGAAACAAACGCTGAAAATGAGATGGAGCCTATCATCTTAAAAACTGAAATTGAATGTGCCATAACATTAACTCAAATTAAACACTTTTCATTAAACAGAGTCTCGGGAACTGACGGCATTTCTGCTGAAATGATAAAACTGTTGGGAGATGATGGAATTAGAATAATTCACAATATCTGCAATAAGGTGTGGTAGAACGGTAAATGGCCTAAAGACTGGACTAGATCTGCATTTATCCCAATACATAAAAAAGGATCCATTCAAAAATGTCAAAATTATCGAACGATATCGTTAGTTTCACACGCCAGTAAGATATTGCTGAGAATAATTAATCAAAGGCTACAAAAATATCTAGCACCACAGATTCCACCCGAACAAGCAGGCTTTATGAAAAGCAGAGGAACTAGAGATCAAATATTTAACATCCGCCAATTAATAGAAAAGGCGCGAGAATTCAATATACCCATATTCTTGTGCTTTATAGATTACAAAAAAGCCTTCGACTGTGCGCTAAGGCGGTCTGTGGACTATACTGAGGGAAATGGGGGTTCCAAGTCATTTGGTGTCTCTTATCAGCAATCTATGGAAGCAACGAGACTATTGTTAAGCTTGATAACAGAACGTCAGATCCATTCAAAATACAGAGAGGAATGCGCTAAGGCTGCATTCAGATTGTTCAATGCATATGGTGAATACATAATGAGACAAGCCTTAAAGAACTATGACGGAGGTGTGCAAATCAAAGAAATTTAATAACCTTATGCAGATGACACCACCCTAATAACAAAAGACGAAACGGAAATGGCAAGAGTGCTTAAATTGATCGCAGATGAAAGCTCAGCTCATTCGGGTTAGAAATAAACTGGGACAAGACCAAACTTATGATAGTTAATAGAACAGTGTACAACTGATAAATGTACTCCCCGAAATCGAAATATTAAGGATTTTATATACTTGGGATCTTAAATAACCAACGAGGGAGGATGCGAAATGGAGATAAAACGATGTATCGCAATTGCATGAACAACGATGTCGAATCTAGCGAGGATCTGGATTGACAAACAAATAACAAAAACACAAAAAGATCTTTAGTTGGAGCATTGGTGTTCTCCCTATTCTCATACGAAGCGGAGTCTTAGACCATAAAGACCTCCGACAGATGGCGAATAGATGCGTTTGAGATGTGGTGCTGGAGGAGAATGCTCCGCATACTATAGACGGCAAGAAGAACGAACCTATCAATACTCTGAGGTC